CTGCTCTGCGTTCAGTCATAAGCGTGGGGGGGGCGCCACTCCCGCCGACAGCCCCAAGTCGACCTCCGTCGCGGGCAAACATTGCCGCGCCAGAAATACCCCCGCGAATCCGATCCCCGTCGCGCCACGCGGCCCGCGGACGCGGACAGGTTGACGTTGACCAACGTCGGGGGAGACCAAACGCAGAGTAGGTGTGGATACGCCTGCTTCTTCGGGTTTCGCGTGGGCTATCCTCACCTAGCAGGGTGGGTTGGTGGGGCGCACAAGGGGGTAGGGGAAGGAGGAAGGCTCCTTGGAAGAAGGCTGGCTCTCAGAAGGCGCCGGCCTCACATCTGCAGACGAGGCCCGTGCCTTCTGAGAAGCAGGGGTGCTTCTGAGAAGCCTTCCCCCCCTCCCCCCACCCCCTCTGCGCGTGGCCGACGGGAGATAGGTTAGACGATGCCGAGCGCAAGTGCCCCAGGGAAGAGGCGGGACATGCGCCGGCGCTGCGACCGCCGATTGCTCACCACCTTGCGCGGCGGGCTTCCTCTCCTGCCATGCCTCGCACTGACGTCCACAGTCCGTCCGTCCTTTCGGCGGAAGTCCTCACACCCTCTCGATGATGAGATCCCCCATGAATCCCCCGGCATGCAGGCGGCAACACACCCCCGAGGCTCAAGGCTTACGCCACCCACTGGCAGTCACTCTCCATCGGGGCCTCATCTCTGGGTGCTGAGGGGAAAGCGGATGGACGCACCCTGAGGACGACAAGCAGGCGGGCCCTGAGGGCGCGCAGGCGGGCGGAAGGCGCGCGCGCAGACCTCGAGGCAGGCGGCACCCCGGCGCACGCCTGCCCGAGCGGGTGGACCCGAAGGTGGGCAGGCGAGCAGACCCTGAAGGCAAGCTGGCCGCCACTGACCACGACTGGTTTGCTTCTCGGGCTCCAGCGCCAGCACCACTCTGCATCGTGCGCCGACCCTTCGAGGCCGCCTGGCTGTGGCGGGGTGGTGGCAGTGGCCGTGGCAGCGGCGTGTGATCCCCAGTCCCCTACCATGGTTTGCAGCAGTGGTAAGGCCACCCTGGCAAGCCCCCCAAGGAGCTCCTCCTGAACGCAGCAACCGCTCCTCCGGCCGCAGGACCCCCTCGGGCACTGCCAGGGTGGAGGGCAACGTCAGGAGGGGGGACCGACTACGGGGGAGCGGACATCGAACTGGAGTCGGCGATGCATCGCCGACAGATCGGCGATTCAGCCCCCGACAGCGAACCCGCACCCTCCTGGGCGGGTTGGGCTATCGGGTCCCTGTCGGCGGACAATGGGCGGCTAAGGGTCGATGCCTGCCCCCCTGAGCCAATGCCCCCCTAACGTTGCCCCCGACAGGGCCAGGGCGGGGGAGGGACGGCGAGAGGCACCTGGGCGAGGAAGAGGGGCGAGAAAGGCGGCCCAGGGCTCAGGGGAGGGGCGGGAGAGGCGAGCAGACGGGGAGGGGAGGCCGAGGGGAGGGCGCGCGTCTAGCGGCGAGGGGAGGCAGCGGGCGCAGGCTGGGCGCCGAGCCCTGGATCTCGGCCCTGAGATCCGCCATGCGCGCCTGGCGGGAGGGCACGCGCAGGCACATCGGCGGGCGCCCCGCGGTCCAGCTGCTTGCTCTACAGTCGGGCTTGATTGGACAGGACACGCGAGAGGACACGAGACCCTTCCGAGGGCCACCTTGCCACGGGAATGTGAGAGGCATGGGTCGCGAGACACGGGACAGAAAGGTGCCCTTGATTTGGCAGGGTCGACCTACGAATCCGGGCCGACTGTACCATCAACAACAGTAGCGCCATGATCGCCGCTCGGAGGTCGTTTGGAAGGCCGCGGCACCGGGGCCCTGGCCCCTGACGCCGGCGTCCCATGCCGCTGGCACTCGGTGTGCCAGCACTGTGCGACGGCAGTGTGGGTCGGCACTGCCTGTCACTGAGCATCGTGTGCTCGATCCCCGTCCCCATTGGCATGGCCTTGGCCCCACTGACCGATTTGCCCCCCTGGATGGGGATGTGTGATGTTCCCTTCGGGATTCGCGGGGCGTATCCCCACCCGAGGGGGTGGGGGGGGGCGGGCTGGTGGGGCTGAGATGCCCTGGCCCAGTGGGGATGGGGACAGCTGACGATGCCGGGTCACCGCGCGTCCCCGCTGCGCGCCAGCTTGCGCTGACAGCTTGCGGCCGTCCTCGCACGAGGCGGCCGTCTGCGGCCCGGAGGGAGGAGGAGGAAGGAGGAGGGAGGAGGAGGGAGGAGGAGGGAGGAGGAGGGAGGAGGAGGGAGGAGGAGGAGGAGGAGGAGGAGGAGGAAGAGGAGGAGGAGGAGGAGGAGGAGGAGGGGCAGCGTGACCGTCGTCCCGAGGTGCCGACCCACAGCAGACGTGTCCGCCTGCTGCGGCGCAGGCTGCAGGCACGAGTCGGCAGGGAGCCTGGCGGTCAGCGTGTGGCCCCCTCAGGCCGAGCTGGGACTGCACGATGGCACCCTGGGGTCCCCATTTCCCCCACACAATCAGGGCAGGACAGAAGGAGTCATCCTCAGGATCACTCCACCAGGCACCTCTCGAGCAAATCTGAAGATGCACGTCAAAAAGGCGGAGAAAGCCGATCGAGAAAGCAGCACACAAAGACGTCGCCCATGGATAATCTGGCTTGGCCGTGCGTGGACTGTCGGCACAGTTCGCCCGAGCCACCGCCTCAACTTTTGCCATCTGCTGGATGATTTTAATCCGTGCTTCTTACACCCCTGACGAAACAGGGCACAAGCACTTGCGCTGTTGCTCATGCGCTGACGCCCGTCAGTCCCTCACGCGTTGGAGCGCTGCTCGGCACCGCCATCTTCAGGAAGCGCGCACGTACGGGACCCATCTGGGCTGCGAAAGTAGACCAAACATGAACACGCGCGTGTGCTGCTCGGTGCTGGCATTCCTCGCACATCTCCGCACTCGCGCCGCGTCGTCCGCGCAGACACCCGCCGCAAACGACACAAACAGAAGCCGAGACTGCAACGCGAAGGGCTGACCGAAGGGAAAAGCCACCGGCGGGGGGAAGGGGAAGGACAAAGCCAACAGACTGGCTCGCCACTGCAGGGGCAGCCAGCCGAAGGGTAAAAGCGAAGGGGAGCCTGGAAAGGGGCGCGGTTCCAAACAAGGCAAGGAAGGTTCGCTCACGTCTGCGGATGTGTCCGCTCATGTCGTGCCCCTTGGTGTGGGTCACAAGGACTGGCGAGGTGGCTGGGCCGTCAAATGCAAGGGGCCAATGCCGTAGACTGAGTCCAAGAAATCCCACCAGCCCTCGGGGCGTAGGTGGTTTAACGACTTTTGTCTTCTCTCTGCCAAAGCTCCCTCCTTCCTGCTCGAGGGAGGGGTCGATCGCTGTTCCCTATTAATGCATGCACCCCCTCCCCCAAGCGACGAGCAGCCAACCAGGAAAAATGAAGACCCCATGAGGGACACCCACCCACCATCCCTGTCCAAAAAACATAGTACACTTTTTTGGAGTCCCGAAACGGTGCGGTGACAGACCGTGCGGTGACCTCGAAACCCCCCAGGACCTCACCGCACGCTCCGTCACCGCACGGTCTTGGGACCACCGAGGCCCCTGTCGCCCGAGACATCCTCGGAGAGGGCCTCGAGTCCCAAAACCGTGCGGTGACCCCGAATCCCCACCGACTCACCGCACGGTGTGGTCACCACCCCGTTTGGGGACCCCCAAACTTCGGGACAAAGTCTGAAAACATGTTTGTGAGGCACGCGAGCACGTTGTATTGTCTTTTGACCCGGACGGCGGGGGTATCAGCATATTGCCTGCTGCGCGCAGGACTACCACCCCTACCAGAAAACAATACAAAATGCACCTCGCGGCTAAATCTGGATCGTGCGCGGCCACCCCGCGATCACTGTCAAGTGGTGGCGTATGGCCTGCTGTGCGTAGGCCCACCAAACACAATGATGGGCATTGGTTTTCGACATGGATGGTGGGGGCCGACATGTTTCCCGATGTGTGTTGTCACGTGCGCAGGCGCACCTGGCATACTCTGCACGTGCCCCGAACTTGGCGCACCTGGCGAAGCTGGAGTATGCGGCACACCTGGCGCACGCGGAGGCACGTGGCGCATATGGCGGCCCAGGCGTGCCTGGCATCCTCGGGCCCCAGGGGTGCCTGGCGCGCGTGGCGCGCCTGGCACACGTGGCGCACATCGCCCCAGCGTCGCGCACATGGGCTCGGTTTGGCTTCACAGTAGCTGTCCATCCAAAAGACGACCGCTGAACATGCCGAGGCCCGGGTGATAGTTATGTGTTGTGAGGGCGGAGGGGAGTGAGCTAGACGGCTTGCTATCTAGGAGGGTGGCTTGACCCCTCCCCCTGCCCCCTCCCCGGGGCCTGGAAAGGGCACCCCGCAAGGGATTAGAGCGTCCAAGATGAACCAAGATGGCCCCGGCAGGGCCTCTGAGAGCGCAAGATGGCCTCCAAGATGGCTCAACATACCTCAGGATGGTTCAAGATAGCCTCCGACTCACATCTACGAGGCCTTAAGACGATCCCAAAGGACCCCCCAACAAAAACCCAAATGGCTCCAAAACCTAAGGGGGATCAATGTGTGTTGCCTTCTCGCCCTTTCGCTTCCGTTGGGCTCTTGAGGCCTCAAGATGGCCCCAAGACGGCCCAAGAGCGCCCCAAAAGGGGCTTAAGAACGCCCCGATACAGTCCCAAGGGCGCCCAAGAGCACGCCAAGAGCGCCCCAAGAAGGCCTCAAGACGCCATGCTCGAGCCTCCCAAAGGGGAACCTGAATTTCCGACCCCTCCTCTTTTAGAGTCATGGAGGCCAAGATGGCCCCAAGAGCCCTCCCAGACCCTCCAACCGAGCCCCAAGAGGGCCCCAAGAAGGCCCCAAGAGAGCCCCAAGAGGCTCCGCGAGAACCCCAACAGAGCCCCAAGATGGCTCCAACAGACCTCCGAGAAAACGCCTCAGAGGCGGTTGTTACACTGCACTCTTCTACACTTCCCTGCTTGGGCTGGTGGGGATACTTTTTTGGTCAGCGGCCACGAAGACAGCGGTCAGGTGGCGAAGGCAACATCCGGGCCACGGGCGAGGCGAATTTGCTAAAACTGAAACGCGGCCGGCCAGAGCAGGCTGAAGTTGACGTTGGGCTCCAGCTGCGCCTCCGACATCTCGCTCAGCAGCGCAAGCGCCCGCTGCCACTGCTCGCCCTTCTCGCACGCGCTGATCCCAGCGCTGTAGCTGACTAGGGCTGACCCGTGGACTCCGTCCACGACATCTTTCTGGAATGGTTCTCGGAGGAACGGCGCAGATTGTACCGAAAATCTACAAACACGGCGGCGGCTCGGGCGGCGGCAGCGAGACCGCGCCTTCGTGTCCGAGCTCTTGCAGCGCTGCAGCAGCTTGGCCCAGCGCACTGCTCGTTCACCCCCCTCCTATTGAGGACAGTTTCGAAGTCTCTCGGGGATGTGCGTCGAAGTCGAAGCCCATCTGAGGCGTCTCAGGAGCGCTCGGGGAAGGGCTCGGGAGGCCATCGGGGAAAGCCACCGAAAGCGCCGGGGAGGCTCGCAAGGATCTACAGGGAGGGCCCAAGAGAGCTTCAAGAAAATTTGAAATCCAGTGAACTCTTAAGAGAAACCGCTGTTGTGTCGGCCATCACCTCCGGGCGCGCCTTGATGGTGCGATCCAGTCGCATCACCGCCAACGGGAGGGTTTGTTCGCCATGTCCCATTCTGTTCGCCCAGAGGGTCTGTGGAGGCCTTCGGGCGAACAGAACGGGACAGGACAAGGAATGGGGAAGACATGTCCGAATCTCCTGGGCCCCCCAAATGCTCGTCCGAAGAATGCGGAGAGGTCGCAAGGTCATATCAATTGGCTGCTGTCACAGGGGTCCGGTCTGCTTGGCCCGAAGACTTTGCCAAGGCCCCTGGGGGAACAGAATGGCACAGCATATCGGGCAAAGGGGGGCGGTAGCTGGCCTGTCAGACCCAGCGTTCGTCTTCTGCCCAAGCGGCGCGGGGCCCACGGGCCCCAGGGTTGGCGTCCCGCTGGGATTCCTCTTGTTCGCCCACAGGGTTGGAGGAGGCCTCCAGGCGAACAGAATGGGGCAGGACAATGAATGTGGGAGACTTGTCGCAAGCTCCCAGCCCCCCCAAGTGTGCGCCCGAAGGGTGTGGGGCCGCGTTGGCTCCCTCAAAGGGCCGTCTTGGAGCCGTCTAGGCCCGTCTTGAGGGCGCCGTTTGCCCTGATGGGGCCGTCTTGGTTCGTCGTGGGCCCCTCATGGGCGCGTCCGTAGGCCGTCCTGGGCCCATCGGGGTCCTCGTGGGGCTGTCTTGGAGCCGTCTGGGACCGTAAGGAGGCCGCCTTGGAGTCGTCTTGGGCCCCTCCTGTGCGCCTCCTTGGGCCGTCCTGGGCCCAGCAGGGGCCGTGTTGGCACCCTCTTGGGGCTGTCTTGGAGCCGTCTTGAGCCGTCGCAGCGCGCCTTGGGTTGTGCTGGGTCCGTCTTGGCCCGTCTTGGGGCCTTCCTGGGCGGTTCCTCGGACCCTCCTGGGACTTTCTGGGGCCTCTTGGTGCATCGGACCGCCGAAACGGCGGGAAACGCAAAGGGTGTAACAGTAAACAATGGAAAATTAACGATTTTTGCCAGCTGGGACTCTCTTGCCATCTTGGCCCGTCTTGAGGCCCCGAACGGGCGCGTCCTTGGGCCGTCCTGGGCGCACCCTCCTGGGACCGTCTTGGAATCGTCTTGGGCCGTCTTGAGCGCGCCTTGGGCCGTCCTGGGCCGGTCTGGGGCCGTGTTGGCACCCTCGCGGCGAGGAAGCTCGGAGGCGGGCTCGAGGCCTCTTCGGGGCCATTTTGGAAGCTGTTGGGGCCTCTGTAGGGGCCTCGTTTGGGCTCCTTGGGAGCCTCCTGGGGCCTCTTCGGGGGATTCTTGGCGGCCCCTTGGGGCCTCTTGGGGGCCTGTTTGGGCCTCCTGGCGCCCTCTTGGGGCGGAAGGCTCGGATTTTCGGTCCGTGGTCCCCCTCTTGGCCCCCTCTTGGGCCTGTCTTCGGGCCCTCGTGGGCCGTCTTGAGCGTCTCTTGGGTCGTCTTGGGGCCCTCTTGGGCTGTCTTGGGGCGCTCTTGGAAACCTCTTGGGCCGTTCTGGGGCGCTCTTGGAGGCCTCTTGGGCCGTCTTCGAGCGTCGGAAAGCGGAAAAGGCGAGAAGGCCAAAATCCTTCCAAAACCGTCGTAAAGCGGACGATTTTGAGGCCCAAAACCGTCCAAAACCTCCTGAGGCGGTCCCCTCGTCCGCCCCCCTCGCTTCGAAGCAGTTTTTAAGCCCCGTGGCACCTCTTGGGGATCTCTTTTGGGCTCCTGGGGGCCTCTTGGGCCTCCACTGGATTCGCTGCCCTCGGTCGGCAATCGTCGATCCTACGACGACTCTCCCCAACGGAGAAACATCGAAGGCCCTCGGAGCGTCCAACATTGTTCTTTTGTGCCTTCGATATGCCGGTCGCCTCTCGTCCGCTCCCCCCCTCCTGGAAGCAATTCTGAGGCCACTTAGGGCTTCGTGGGGGCCGTTTGGGGATCTCTTGGGGCGTTTTTGCCTGCAATATGCCTGTCGCCTCTCGTCCGCTCCCCCGCTCCTGGAGGGAATTCTGAAGGCACTGAAGGCTTCGTGGGGGCCGTTTCGGAGCCTCTTCGGCCTTCGTTTGGGCCTCCCGGGGGGGCTCTTAGGGCCCTCTCGGGCCGTCTTGGGTGCCTCTTGGGCCGTCTTGGGGCCGTCTGAGACCCGCCTCGGCGCCTCTTGGGCTGTCGTGGGCCGTCTTGGGCCGCTCCTGGGGTCGTCTTGGGTGCCTCTTGGGCCGTCTTGGGCGCCTCCTGGGCCGTCCTGGGGCCGTCCTGGGGCGTCTTGGGACCGTCTGGGGGCCCTCCTGGCCCGTCTTGGGGCTCTCTTGGGGTCCTCTTCGGCCGTCTTGGAGCGGTCGGGAGGGCTTCTTGGGCCGTCTTGGAGCGATTTCTGTCGCTCGGGGCCCTCTTGGGAGGCCTCTTCGGGCGTCTTGGACGCCTCTTGGGCCGCCTGGGGCGAATCTCGGGCGTCTTGGGCCCATCTTTAAGCGTGCCGGGGCTCTCCGGGGCCGTCTTGGGGGAATCGACATGTCCTGGGGCCTGCCTGGGCCCCGGGGGCAGCCCGGGGCGGCCCGGGGCCAGCCCGGGGCGGTTTTGAGACATTTGAGCCTGCTCACCCTTCCCGCACGCACGTGCCCCTGCAATGTAGTAGAGACTAGGGCAGACCTGTGGACTCCGTCCACGACATAAGCTCGACGTGGCGAGGGGTCTCTGGGCAAGCGCGGGGGGGTGCGGCTGCAGGGCCGAAAGGCAATCATGATGCCTTCGATATGCCGGTCGCCTCTCGTCCGCTCCCCCCCTCCTGGAAGCAATTCTGAGGCCACTTAGGGCTTCGTGGGGGCCGTTTGGGGATCTCTTGGGGCGTTTTTGCCTGCGATATGCCTGTCGCCTCTCGTCCGCTCCCCCGCTCCTGGAGGGAATTCTGAAGGCACTGAAGGCTTCGTGGGGGCCGTTTCGGAGCCTCTTCGGCCTTCTTTTGGGCCTCCCGGGGGGGCTCTTAGGGCCCTCTCGGGCCGTCTTGGGTGCCTCTTGGGCCGTCTTGGGGCCGTCTGAGGCCCGCCTCGGCGCCTCTTGGGCTGTCTTGGGCCGTCTTGGGCCGCTCCTGGGGCCGTCTTGGGTGCCTCTTGGGCCGTCTTGGGCGCCTCCTGGGCCGTCCTGGGGCCGTGCTGGTGCGTCTTGGGACCGTCTTGGGGCCCTCCTGGCCCGTCTTGGGGCTCTCTTGGGGTCCTCTTCGGCCGTCTTGGAGCAGTCGGGGGGACTTCTTGGGCCGTCTTGGAGCGTCGGGAAGCCGAAGAGGCGAGGAGGCCGAAAACATCGAAAAACACAACAGAAATCGACGATTTCTGTCGCTCGGGGCCCTCTTGGGAGGCCTCTTGGGAGGCCTCTTCGGGCGTCTTGGACGCCTCTTGGGCCGTCTGGGGCGAATCTCGGGCGTCTTGGGCCCATCTTTAAGCGTGCCGGGGCTCTCCGGGGCCGTCTTGGGGGCTTCGGGGGGCCCTCTCGACATGTCCTGGAGCCTGCCTGGGCGGCCTGGGGCGGCCCGGGGCCAGCCCGGGGCGGTTTCGGTGCATTGGGGCCTGCGCCCTTCTGGCACGCACTGGGCCCTGCAATGTAGGCGGCCCGGGGCCAGCCCGGGGCGGTTTCGGTGCATTGGGGCCTGCGCCCTTCTGGCACGCACTGGGCCCTGCAATGTAGTAGAGATGACGTTGTGCTCCAGTTTGGCCTCTCACATCTCGCTCAGCAGCGCAAGCGCCCGCTGCCACTGCTCGCCCTTCTCGCACGCGCTGATCCCAGCGCTGTAGCTGATGACGTTGGGCTCCAGCTGCGCCTCCGACATCTCGCTCAGCAGCACAAGCGCCCGCTGCCACTGCTCGCCCTTCTCGCACGCGCTGATCCCAGCGCTGTAGCTGACTAGGGCAGACCTGTGGACTCCGTCCACGACATCAGCTCGACGTGGCGAGGGGTCTCTGGGCAAGCGCGGGCGTTTTTGCCTGCGATATGCCTGTCGCCTCTCGTCCGCTCCCCCGCTCCTGGAGGGAATTCTGAAGCCAATGAAGGCTTCGTGGGGGCCGTTTCGGAGCCTCTTCGGCTTTCTTTTGGGCCTCCCGGGGGGGCTCTTAGGGCCCTCTCGGGCCGTCTTGGGTGCCTCTTGGGCCGTCTTGGGGCCGTCTGAGGCCCGCCTCGGCGCCTCTTGGGCTGTCTTGGGCCGTCTTGGGCCGCTCCTGGGGCCGTCTTGGGTGCCTCTTGGGCCGTCTGGGGCGCCTCCTGGGCCGTCCTGGGGCCGTCCTGGGGCGTCTTGGGACCGTCTTGGGGCCCTCCTGGCCCGTCTTGGGGCTCTCTTGGGGTCCTCTTCGGCCGTCTTGGAGCGGTCGGGGGGACTTCTTGGGCCGTCTTGGAGCGTCGGGAAGCCGAAGAGGCGAGGAGGCCGAAAACATCGAAAAACACAATAGAAATCGACGATTTCTGTCGCTCGGGGGCCTCTTGGGAGGCCTCTTCGGGCGTCTTGGACGCCTCTTGGGCCGTCTGGGGCGAATCTCGGGCGTCTTGGGCCCATCTTTAAGCGTGCCGGGGCTCTCCGGGGCCGTCTTGGGGGCTTCTGAGGGCCCTCTCGACATGTCCTGGAGCCTGCCTGGGCGGCCCGGGGCGGCCCGGGGCCAGCCCGGGGCGGTTTTGACTCATTGGAGCCTGCGCCCTTCTGGCACGCACTGGGCCCTGCAATGTAGTAGAGATGACGTTGGGCTCCTGCGTCGCCTCTCACATCTCGCTCAGCAGCGCAAGCGCCCGCTGCCGCTGCTCGCCCTTCTCGCACGCGCTGATCCCAGCGCTGTAGCTGATGACGTTGGGCTCCAGCTGCGCCTTCCGCATCTCGCTCAGCAGCGCGAGCGCCCGCTGCCACTGCTCGCCCTTCCCGCACGCGCTGATCCCAGCGCTGCAGCTGATGACGTCGGGCTCCAGCTTCGCCTCCCACATCTCGCTCAGCAGCGCAAGCGCCAGCTGCCACTGCTCGCCCTTCTCGCACGCGCTGATCCCAGCGCTGTAGCTGAGGCCTGCGCCCTTCTGGCACGCACTGGGCCCTGCAATGTAGTAGAGATGACGTCGGGATCCAGCTTCGCCTCCCACATCTCGCTCAGCAGCGCAAGCGCCCGCTGCCACTGCTCGCCCTTCTCGCACGCGCTGATCCCAGCGTTGTAACTGATGATGTCGGGCTCCAGCTTGGCCTCCAGCATCTCGCTCAGCAGCGCAAGCGCTCGCTGCCACTGCTGGCCCTTCTCGCACGCGCTGATCCCAACGTTGTAGCTGATGACGTCGGGATCCAGCTTCGCCTCCCGCATCTCGCTCAGCAGCGCAAGCGCCCGCTGCCACTGCTCGCCCTTCTCGCACGCGCTAATCCCAGCGTTGTAGCTGACTAGGGCTGACCCGTGGACTACGTCCACGACATCTCCTCGAGGCGGCGAGCGGTGTCTGGGCAAGCGTGCTTGCTTCTGCCCAGTGCCTTTTACAGCCGCTTGCTGTTGCTGGGTACTGCGTTTTGCCACTCGCGGCTTTTCGTTTTGTCTTTCTTTGGCGTTTGCCGCTTAATTGATGTCGCTCATTGCTGCTTGATCCCGACCTCAGCCTGGAGCCTTTGCAGAGGAGGGAAGAAAATAAGAGGCGCATCGGCGCCTTATTTTCCTGTGTGGCCGGCGCAGTTCCAGAGCTTTCTGAGGGATCTTCCCTCCGAAGCCTCTGGGAGGCGGCTTCGGGGGTGTCTTCTGGCCTCTCGAGGGTCTCTTCAGGGCCCTTCTGGGGCGTTCGGGGGGCCTCCGACCGGGGCCTCCTGGGGCCAGCTGGCGGTGTCTGGGATCATCATGGAGCGGAGTGCGCGAAATGTCAGTTCGAGTTCCCCCTCGTGTGGTCGTCTTGGGACCGTCTTGGGCCGTCTTGGGGGGCTCTTGGGCCGTCTTGTGGCCCTCTTGCGCCGTCTGGGAGCTCTTGGGAGGCCCTGGGGCCGGCTCGAAGCGTGGAGACTCAGAAGAAGCGAAAACGGTGAAACCCTTCAAACATTTGAGGAACATCCATCATTTTAGCGTATCGGAGCCCTTCTCGGGGGCCTCTTGGAGCCCTCTTGGGCCGTCTTCCTGCACTGTGGGGCCTTCTGGGGCGTCGGGGGGGATTCTTGGAGGGCAACTGGCGGTTTCTGGGATCATCCTGGAACGGAGAACGCAAAATTCCAGTTGGAGTTTCACCTCGTGACGTGAGGCACTCCTGGGGCCGTCTTGGGGCCCTCTTGGGCTGTTTGGGGGCTCTCTTGGGGGCCTCTGGGGCCATCGTGGCGCGATCTTGGGGGCCCTGGGGCCAGCTTGGAACGAATTTTGCTTGTGCGGGCTCCGTCGGGCGTCTTCCGGGAGCCCACTTGGAGCGTTTTGGGGGCCTCTTGGGCCGTCTGGAGTTCTCTTGAGCGTCTCCGAGCACTCCTGGACCGTCTCGGAGGCCCTCGTGGAACGTCCTGGGACGTCTTGGGGCTCTGCTGGAGGACCCCCGGGGCGTCTCGGAGGGCTCTTGGGCGTAGAGATGGTGCTGGGCGTCAGGCTCCAGCTTTGCCGTCTGCACCTCGCTCCGTAGCGCCAAAGCCATCGGCCATTGCTCGCTCTTCTCGTACGCGCCGGTCCCAGCGATGCAACTGAACAAACACATGTATCGAACATGATATGTATTTTATCCATCTCCCTTTACTAAGACATGCACTTCCCTGAGTAAAGACAGCACTTGGCTCCATTGCCCGCGTTGCTCGCACATGCTGGCTGCAATCCCGTAGACCGTGAAGTCAACGCTCCCCTTTCTCAAAGGCATGGTTCTGAGCATGCTCAGCGCCTGTTGCCACTGCCCACCCTTCTCGCACGCGTTGACCCCAGCGCCGTAGCTGATGACGTTGGGTTCCAACTTCACCTCCCGCATCTCGCTCAACTGCGCCAGCGCCCGCTGCCACTGCTCGCCCTTCTCGCACGCGCTGATCCCAGCGCTGTAGCTGACTAGGGCTGACCCGTGGACTCCGTCCACGACATCTTTCTGGAATGGTTCTCGGAGAACGGCGCAGATTGTACCGAAAATCTACAAACACGGCGGCGGCTCGGGCGGCGGCAGCGAGACCGCGCCTTCGTGTCCGAGCTCTTGCAGCGCTCCAGCAGCTTGGCCCAGCGCACTGCTCGTTCACCCCCCTCCTATTGAGGACAGTTTCGAAGTCTCTCGGGGATGTGCGTCGAAGTCGAAGCCCATCTGAGGCGTCTCAGGAGCGCTTGGGGAAGGGCTTGGGAGACCATCGGGGAAAGCCACCGAAAGCGCCGGGGAGGCTCGCAAGGATCTACAGGGAGGGCCCAAGAGAGCTTCAAGAAAATTCGAAATTCTGTAAAATATTTAGAGAAACCGCTGTTGAGTAGGCCATCACCTCCGGGCGCGCCTTGATGGTGCGTTCCAGTCGCATCACCGCCAACGGGAGGGTTTGTTCGCCATGTCCCATTCTGTTCGCCCAGAGGGTCCGTGGAGGCCTTCGGGCGAACAGAATGGGACAGGGCAAGGAATGGGGAAGACTTGTCCGAATCTCCTGGGCCCCGGAGGTGCTCGTCCGAAGAATGCGGAGAGGTCCCATGGTCATATCAATTGGCTGCTGTCCCAGGGGTCCGGTCTGCTTGGCCCGAAGAGTTTGCCAAGGCCCCTGGGGGAACAGAATGGCACAGCATATCGGGCAAAGGGGGGCGGTAGCTGGCCTGTCAGACCCGGCGTTCGTCTTCTGCCCAAGCGGCGCGGGGCCCACGGGCCCCAGGGTTGGCGGCCCGCTGGGTTTCCTCTTGTTCGCCCACAGGGTTGGAGGAGGCCTCCAGGCGAACAGAATGGGGCAGGACAATGAATGTGGGAGACTTGTCGCAAGCTCCCAGCCCCCCCAAGTGTGCGCCCGAAGGGTGTGGGGCCGCGTTGGCTCCCTCAAAGGGCCGTCTTGGAGCCGTCCATGGCCCGTCTTGAGGGCGCCGTTTGCCGTGATGGGGCCGTCTTGGTTCGTCGTGGGCCCCTCATGGGCGCGTCCGTAGGCCGTCCTGGGCCCATCGGGGTCCTCGTGGGGCTGTCTTGGAGCCGTCTGGGACCGTGAGGGGGCCGCCTTGGAGTCGTCTTGGGCCCCTCCTGTGCGCCTCCTTGGGCCGTCCTGGGCCCAGCAGGGGCCGTGTTGGCACCCTCTTGGGGCTGTCTTGGAGCCGTCTTGAGCCGTCGCAGCGCGCCTTGGGTTGTGCTGGGTCCGTCTTGGCCCGTCTTGGGGCCTTCCTGGGCGGTTCCTCGGACCCTCCTGGGACTTTCTGGGGCCTCTTGGTGCATCGGACCGCCGAAACGGCGGGAAACGCAAAGGGTGTAACAGTAAACAATGGAAAATTAACGATTTTTGCCAGCTGGGGCTCTCTTGCCATCTTGGCCCGTCTTGAGGCCCCGACCGGGCGCGTCCTTGGGCCGTCCTGGGCGCACCCTCCTGGGACCGTCTTGGAATCGTCTTGGGCCGTCTTGAGCGCGCCTTGGGCCGTCCTGGGCCCGTCTGGGGCCGTGTTGGCACCCTCGCGGCGAGGAAGCTCGGAGGCGGGCTCGAGGCCTCTTTGGGGCAATTTTGGAAGCTGTTGGGGCCTCTGTTGGGGCCTCGTTTTGGGTTCCTTGGGAGCTTCCTGGGGCCTATTCGGGGGATTCTTGGCGGCCCCTTGGGGCCTCTTGGGGGCCTGTTTGGGCCTCTTGGCGCCCTCTTGGGGCGGAAGGCTCGGAGTTTCGGTCCGTGGTCCTTCTCTTGGCCCCCTCTTGGGCCTGTCTTCGGGCCCTCGTGGGCCGTCTTGAGCGTATCTTGGGTCGTTTTGGGGCCGTTTTGGGCTGTTTTGGGGCGCTCTTAGGAACCTCTTGGGCCGTTTTGGGGCGCTCTTGGAGGCCTCTTGGGCCGTCTTCGAGCGTCGGAAAGCGGAAAAGGCGAGAAGGCCAAAATCCTTACAAAACCGTTGTAAAGCGGATGATTTTGAGGCCCAAAACCGTCCAAAACCTCCTGAGGCGGTCCCCTCGTCCTCCCCCCTCGCTTCGAAGCAGTTTTTAAGCCCCGTGGCACCTCTTGGGGACCTCTTTTGGACTCCTGGGGGCCTCTTGGGCGCCTCTGGGCTCGTCTATCGCGCCCTTTGGGCTGTCTTGGGGCCCCCTAGGGCCTTCTTGGGCGGTCCTCGGGCCGTCTTGGAACCATCTTGGGCCGCTCTTCGGGCCATCTTGGGGTCCCGTTGGCCTGTCTTGGGCGCCTCTGGGGCCGTCCGGTAGCTGATGACGTTGGGCTCCAGCTTCGCCTCCCGCATCTCGCTCAGCAGCGCAAGCGCCCGCTGCCACTGTTCGCCCTTCTCGCACGCGCTGACCCCAGCGCTGTAGCTGATGACGTCGGGCTCAAGCTGCGCCTCCCACATCTCGCTCAGTAGCGCAAGCGCCCGCTGCCACTGCTCGCCCTTCTCGCACGCGCTGATCCCAGCGCTGTAGCTGACTAGGGCTGATCCGCGGCCTTTCGGCCGCGGAATCTGCCCGCCATGGCGTGGACGTGGAAGTGGAACGTCTCTGGGGCCTCGCAGGTAAGGGGAGGTTGGAGGGGACGGCGTGGATGGAGGAGGTGGCCGCTGGAGGTGGAGGTGGCCGAGGAGGGATACGGGCAAGCGAGTGGTAACTTTATCTGGTAGTGTGGTGGCAATGGGGCCGGTGGGCGCGGTCTAGGAGGCCCACAAAAGGGCGGCGAGACGGCCCAAAAGGTCTCCAGGACGGGCCAAGAGGCTCCGAAGGCCCCACGAACTCCCGAAGAAGGGCCCCAGTGCGAGGACACGAATCGACCTTTCGAGCGCAACGCCCCAAGACGTCCCCAACTGGCGCAGAGATGACTCCCAGAGGATCCAAGAAGCCCCCAAGACGACGCTGGAAGTTCGACGCTCCCCAGGAGAGAAGCATCCAAGGCCTCTTGGGGGCCGTTTGGGGGCCCTCTTTTCGTCCTCCTGGGAGTCTCTCGGGGCCCTCTTGGGCAGTCTTGAGTGCCTCTTGGGCCGTCTTGGGGCGATTTGGAGCCGACTTGGGCGCCTCTCGGACCATCTTGGGGCCGTCTTGGGGCCATCTTGGGCCGATATTGGGCGCTCTTGGGGTTGTCTTGGGTGTTTCCGGGGCCGCCCCGGGCGCCTCTGGAGCCGTCCCGGACGGCCCACAGACCGTCTTGGAGACTGTGCAGACGGAAAAGCTTGGAGACGGGGCGGCAGGGGCCTCTACAGCCGTCTTGGTGTCGCCCTGGGACCGTTTTGGGCGCCTCTTGGGCTCTCTTGACGCCCTCTCGGGCCGGTTTTCGTGCGTCTCGGGGGCCTCTTGGGCCGTCTTGGGGCGGTCGTGGGGACCTGGAACCAGCTTCTGCGCCATATTCCCGTGAAGCAGCGCATGCTGCAAGTGAGCGTTTTTCTTTGGGAAAACAATGATTTTCGCCTCTGGGGGCCATCCTTGGACGCGTCTTGGGCGTCTCTGGGGCCGTCGTGGAGGCCTCCTGGGCCGTCTTGGGTGTGTTTTCGGCGGTCTTGGGCTCTCTTGGAGCGCTCTTGGGCCGTCTTGGGGGTGTCTGGGGCCGTCCTGGGCGCCTCCTGGGAGCCTCTTGGGGCCGCCTGGGGGCCGTGTTGGGCGCCTCTTGGGTCTCTGGACGCTCTCGCGGGCCGGTTTTCGTGCCTCTGGGGGGCCTCTTGGGCCGTCTTGGGGCGGTCGCGGGGGCCTCTTGTCCCATCTTCTGCGCCAGACTCCCGACAAGCAGTGCATGCTAAAATTGGACGGACATGTGGGGGCCATCCTGGGACGCCTCTTGAGCGTCTCTGGGGCCGTCGTGGTGGCCTCCTGGGCCTTGTCGGGGCCGTTTTCGGCGGTCTGGAGCGTTCTTGGGCCGTTTTGGGGGTGTCTGGGGCCGTCCTGGGCGCCTCTGGGGCCGCGTGAGCGCCTCTGGGGCGTCCCCGGAGCCGTCGGGCATTTTAAGCCCATCAAGACAGGGACACTTCCCGCACGCACGGGTCCCTGCATTGTAGAGAAGATGACGTCGGGCTCCAGCTGTGCCTCCCGCATCTCGCTCAGCAGCGCAAGCGCCGGCTGCCACTGCTCGCCCTTCTCGCACGCGCTGATCCCAGCGTTGTAGCTGATGACGTTGGGTTCCAGCTTCGCCTCCCGCATCTCGCTCAGCAGCGCAAGCGCCCGCTGCCACTGCTCGCCCTTCTCGCACGCGCTGATCCCAGCGTTGTCGGGACTAGGCAACCTGTGGACTCCTGTCCCACGACATCAGCTCGTCGTGGCGAGGGGTCGTATGGGGAGGCCGCGTGCTGTCGCCTCTCGTCCGCTCCCCCGCTCCTGGAGGGAATTCTGAAGCCACTTAGGGCTTCGTGGGGGCCGTTTCGGAGCCTCTTCGGCCTTCTTTTGGGCCTCCCGGGGGGGCTCTTAGGGCCCTCTCGGGCCGTCTTCGGTGCCTCTTGGGCCGTCTTGGGGCCGTCTGAGGCCCGCCTCGGCGCCTCTGGGGCTGTCTTGGGCCGTCTTGGGCCGCTCCTGGGGCCGTCTTGGGCGCCTGTTGGGCCGTCTTGGGCGCCTCCTGGGCCGTCCTGGGGCCGTCTCGGGCCGCTCTTGGGACCGGCATGGGGCCCGCTTGGCCCGTCTTGGGCTCTATTGGGGGCCTCTTCGGCCGTCTTGGAGCGGTCTTGGGGACCTCTTGGCCGTCCTGGGGCGTCTTGGGACCGTCTTGGGGCCCTCCTGGCCCGTCTTGGAGCTCTCTTGGGGTCCTCTTCGGCCGTCTTGGAGCGGTCGGGGGGGCGTCTTGGGCCGTCTTGGAGCGTCGGGAAGCCGACGAGGCGAGGAGGGCGAAAACATTGACAAACACAATAGAAATCGACGATTTCTGTCGCTCGGGGCCCTCTTGGGAGGCCTCTTGGGAGGCCTCTTCGGGCGTCTTGGACGCCTCTTGGGCCGTCTGGGGCGAATCTCGGGCGTCTTGGGCCCATCTGTAAGCGTGCCGGGGCTCTCCGGGGCCGTCTTGGGGGCTTGTGGGGGCCCTCTCGACATGTCCTGGAGCCTGCCTGGGCGGCCCGGGGCGGCCCGGGGCCAGCCCGGGGCGGTTTTGGTGCATTGGAGCCTGCACCATTCTGGCACGCACTGGGCCCTGCAATGTAGTAGAGACTAGGGTGTACCCGTGGACTACGTCCACTTGCGAAGTGATGAGGCGCTGCCGTCACGCGATCACGATGGATGGCGTCAGGTTCGCCTTCCACATGTCGCCGAGCACCTTGAGCGCCGCCTGATTGGGGAGCACGGGAGATGAGGAGGCTCGATCGGGCCATGCGCAAAACGCATTGGGAACGGAGGCGCGATGGTGCAGCCGGGGGAGAAGAACATGGATGTCTTCCCATCCACCTCATTATCCTTTTGTTGCTCCTGTTCCTCCTGTTCCTCCTCCTCTTCCGTTTCCGTCTCCTCCTCCTCCTCCTCCTCCTCCTCCTCCTCCTCCTCCGCCTCCCTCCTCCTCCTGCTCCTCCGTTTCCGTCTCCTCCTCCTCCTCCTCCTCCTCCTCCTCCTCCTCCTCCTATTCCTCCTCCTCCTGCTCCTCGTCGTCCTCCTCCTCCTCCTCCTCCTCCTCCTCCTGACTCCCTCATCCTTCTCAGTGCCCTCCTGATCATCCTCGTCCCTCTCATCCTGTCCCTCATCTTCCTCTTCTTTCTCCTCTCCTTCGGGTTCTCCCGCCTGTCCCTCTGCAGCGCTGGAACGCAGCGTGACAACACCCTTCGGCAAGGCGTCAAAAAAATGCGGTTGCGTCGAAGGCGTCGGCAGGGCCCAGTCTCGCGGGGTCTTCCTCGGCCTCTCTCGGGGCTCTCTTCGAAGTTCCTGAGATAGTCTTGGGTTCCTTTGGGAAGCTCCTCGCGGCTTCAAGGCCGTCTCGATAAGGGCCTGGAGGGCGCCAGGACGGAACCCCAAAAAGCTTCGTGATGTTCGTTTTGAGGGGCGCTCAAAACGAATAGAGCGCGGCCTCTCGCGGGGTCTTCCTAGGCCTCTCTCGGGGCTCTCTTCGAAGTTCCTGAGATCTTTTTGGGTTCCTTTCGGGGGCTCCTCGCGGTCTCAAGGCCGTCTCGGGAGGGGCCTCGAGGGCGCCAGGACCTAACAAAACAGAGTTTCCAGGTGTTCGTTTTGAGGGGCGCTCAAAACGAACAATGCCCAGCCCGTGGTGGTGCCTTCCCAGGCCTCTCCCGGGCTCCCCTCGAAGCGTCTGAGATCTTCTTGGGCTCCTTTGGGAAGCCCCCCCCCGGCTTCAAGGCCGTCTTGGTAGGGGCCTCGAGGGCGCCAGGACGGAACCAAAATGAGCTTCGACGTGTTCGTTTTGAGGAGCGCTCGAAACGAACAGTGCCCAGCCCCTGGTGGGGCCTTCCCTGGCCTCTCTCGGGCTCTCTTCGAAGCGTCTGAGATCTTTTTGGGCTCCTTTGGGAAGGTTCTCGCGGCTTCAAGGCCGTCTCGGTAGGGGCCTCGAGGGCGCCAGGACGGAACCCCAAAAAGCTTCGTGATGTTCGTTTTGAGGGGCGCTCAAAACGAATAGAGCGCGGCCTCTCGCGGGGTCTTCCTAGGCCTCTCTCGGGGCTCTCTTCGAAGTTCCTGAGATCTTTTTGGGTTCCTTTCGGGGGCTCCTCGCGGTCTCAAGGCCGTCTCGGGAGGGGCCTCGAGGGCGCCAGGACCTAACAAAACAGAGTTTCCAGGTGTTCGTTTTGAGGGGCGCTCAAAACGAACAATGCCCAGCCCGTGGTGGTGCCTTCCCAGGCCTCTCCCGGGCTCCCCTCGAAGCGTCTGAGATCTTCTTGGGCTCCTTTGGGAAGCCCCCCCCGGCTTCAAGGCCGTCTTGGTAGGGGCCTTCGAGGGCGCCAGGACGGAACCAAAATGAGCTTCGACGTGTTCGTTTTGAGGGGCGCTCGAAACGAACAGTGCCCAGCCCCTGGTGGGGCCTTCCCTGGCCTCTCTCGGGCTCTCTTCGAAGCGTCTGAGATCTTTTTGGGCTCCTTTGGGAAGGTTCTCGCGGCTTCAAGGCCGTCTCGGTAGGGGCCTCGAGGGCGCCAGGACAAAACCGAAAAGAGCTTCGTGGTGTTCGTTTTGAGGGGCGCTCAAAACGAACAGAGAGCGGCCTCTCGCGGGGCCTTCCTCGGCCTCTGTCGGGGCTCTCTTCGAAGTTCCTGAGATCTTCCTGGGCTCCTTTGGGGGGCTCCTCGCGGCTTCAAGGCCGTCTCGGTAGGGGCCTCCGAGGGCGCCAGGACGGAACCAAAAAGAGCTTCGTGGTATTCGTGTTTAGGGGCGCTCAAAACGAACAGAGCGCGGCCTCTCGCGGGGTCTTCCTAGGCGTCTCTCGGGCTCTCTTCAAAGTTCCTGAGATGTTGTTGGGATCCTTTCGGAAGCTCCTCGCGGTTTCAAGGCCGTCTGGGGAAGGGCCTCGAGGGCGCCAGGACGGAACCAGAAAGAGCTTCCAGGTGTTCGTTTTGAGGGGCGCTCAAAACGAACAGTACCCAGCCCCTGGTGGGGCCGCAAAGAACGCGAGGGCGCGGGAAAAAGCACGCACCGGGAGCTCGCAGGGAACCTCGTCAGCAGGAACGGGGGAGGCTGCTGAGTTTCCAGGGACGTCGAAGGGGCCATTTTGGGCGCGCGGGGGAGGCCGCTGAGCTTGCAGGGCGCCTCCGGAAGCATCTCGGAGCGCCGGAAGAAATCCCAAGAGAGCCCGGAGGAGGCCGCGGAGGGCCGGAAGAGGGCCCCGAGGCGCCAGAAAGGCCGGACAGGGGGCCCGAGGCAACCGAAAAGAACGCGAGGGCGCGGGGAGAAGCACGCACTGGGAGCTGGCAGGGAACCTCGTCAGCAAGAACTTGAAAGTGGCTCGTTTTCCATAGGAAATGCATATTTTTCCTCGGACCGTCTCGGGGTCCTCTTGGGGACCTCTTCGACCCTCTTGGAGCGGTCTTGGATGCCTCTGGGGGGGGTTCGGAGCGTCGGGAAGCCGGAAAAGCGTGGAAGCAAAAAACCTCGGAAGAACCAATGAACATCAACGATGTTGACCTCTCGGGGCTCTCTCGGGAGGCCTCTTGGGAGGCCTATTGGGCCGTTCCTGAGACGGTCCCCTGGTCCGCCCCCCTCTCTTCGAAGCAGTGTGGAAGCCCCGTGGCACCTCTTGGAGACCTCTGTTGGGCTCCTGGGGGCCTCTTGGGCCTCTCTGGGCTCGTCTATCGCGCCCCTTGGGTTGTCTTGGGGCCCCCTCGAGGGCCTTCTTGGGCGGTCCTCGGGCCGTCTTGGAGGGCCGCTCTTCGGGCCATCTTGGGGTCCCGTTGGCCTGTCTTGGGCGCCTCTGGGGCCGTCCTGGGGCCGCCTTGGACCGTCTTGGGGCTCTCTTGGACCGTCTGGGGGTCCTCTGGGGGGCCTCGTGGACCGTCTTGAAGCGGTCTTGGATGCCTCCGGGGGGGTGTCGGAGCGTCGGGAAGCCGAGAAAGCGAGGAAGCAAAAAAACCTCTGGAAAACCCATGAAAACAACAATTTTGGCCTCTCGGGGCTCTCTTGGGAGGCCTCTTGGGAGGCCTGTCGGGCCGTCTTGGGGAGCTCTTGGGCCGTTTGGGGACCTCTTTTGGGCTCCTGGGGGCCTCTTGGGCCTCTCTGGGCTCGTCTATCGCGCCCCTTGGGCTGTCGTGGGGCCCCCGAGGGCCTTCTTGGGCGGTCCTCGGGCCGTCTTGGAGCCATCTTGGGCCGCTCTTCGGGCCATCTTGGGTCCCGTTGGCTGTCTTGGGCGCCTCTGGGGCCGTCCTGGGGCCGCCTTGGACCGGCTTGGGGCCCTCTTGGACCGTCTGGGGGACCTCGTGGACGTCTTGGAGTGGTCTTGGATGCCTCTGGGGGGTTTCGGAGCGTCGGGAAGCTGAGAAAGCGAGGGAGCAAAAAACCTCGGAAAACCATGAAAACAACGATTTTGGCCTCTCGGGGCTCTCTTGGGAGGCCTCTTTGCCTGTTGGGCCGTCTTGGGGAGCTCTTGGGCCGTTTGGGACCTCTTTTGGGCTCCTGGGGGCCTCGTGGGCCTCTCTGGGCTCGTCTATCGCGCCCTTGGGCTGATGGGGCCCCCGAGGGCCT